GCTCCGGATGGTGGTCGCTGACGGTGATGACCCCACGCTGCTCCGGATGGTGGTCGCTGACGGTGATGACCCCACGCTGCTCCGGATGGTGGTCAATGTCCCACCATCGAGAATGGTGGTGCAGCTGTTCCAAGTCCTCTCTCTTCTCTCCATCACAGTCCTCCAGCTAAGAAGGGGAGGGCCGAAACAAGCTTTTAAAGCAAGGTCCGCGGCTGCAGCCTCAGGCCCTTCCTAGGTCCTCTACCTGCAGATCTGTGCTGACTCCATTTCACAAGGAGAGCTCACTTCCACCTGTTCAGAATGTGCACCTTCCACCTAAACAATTCTCAAGCCCTAAACATTGTTTAATGTAAATCATTTCCCTAATGATGTTCCTGCCCCTCTTCATAACGAATTCTACTCTTTAAAAAAATTTAATTAATTTTTGAGACAGGGTCTCACTCTGTCACCCAAACTGGCATGCAGTGATGCAATCACAGCTCACTGCAACCTTGACCTCCTGGGCCCAAGTGATCCTCCTGTCTCAGCCCCCTGAGTAGCTAGAACTACAGGCATGCGCCACTGCACCCAGCTAATATTTTTATTCTTTGTTGAGACAGAGTCTCTATGTTCATACTGTTCCCAGGCTGGCCTCAAAATCCTGGGCTCAAGTAATCCTCCCACCTCAGCCTCCCAAAATGCTGGGATTACAGGCATGAGCCACAGTACCCAGACTAACCTGCTTACAACAAGACTATTCATTAAGAACATTTCAATTTCCTCCCAAAATAGCAAAGAGGAAAAATGACAGTGTAGGCTTTTCAGGATCATTAGATGAGTCACAAGATGAATGCAGAGAGAGTGAGCACTCATGTCCAGTGATGATACCTGAAAATAAAATCTCAGGCAAGACTTCATTTAACAATACCCTAGCATCAACTGTCTCAGAATCAAGAGGCAGTGAGCAATGCGTGTCCGAGGACGAAAAGGGCACACGGGAGTCTCCATCAGCTGCCTGCTCACATGAAGGATCCCACCTCAAATGAACCTCCACCATCCACTTCCCTAAGAGGACACCTATCAATATTCTTTCACTTCTAATGTTTGTGTGCCAAAATTTAGTTGCTACAAAGCGGTTGGATCAAATTTCTAATAAAGCTGTTTTAAATTATTGCTTTATTCTTACTTCTGTAAATTACTTGCAAAACAACTTAAAATGACAAAATAGTAAAGAGGGTCCAGGAATCTGGATGATAAACGGTGTCCTGGTATTTGATACTAATATGAGTTGGAAAAGTGCTGGAACCACACTTCTGAAACCTTCTACAGCACTGGTTAATCTTCTTCAGCCAAAGTTTTTGTATTTTCTTCTGAAATTCTTGACCTCTGAGCAATTTTTGGAGGGTTCTTTTACAAAAAAAATGGCCTGGCGCAGTGGCTCATGCCTGTAATCCCAGACCTTTGGGAGGCCGAGGCAGGTGAATCACCCGAGTTCAGGAGTTCAAGACCAGCCTGGCCAACATTGTAAAACCATCCCCACTAAACAATACAAAAACTACCCAGGCATAGTGGAATGTGCCTGTAATCCCAGCTGCTCAGGAGGCTGAGGCAGGAGAATCACTTGAACCTGGCAGCAGAGGTTGCAGCGAGCTAAGATTGCACCACTGCACTCCAGCCTAGGCGACAGAGCAAAACTTCGTCTCAAAAAACAAAAAAGCCTCTCTTTATTCTGTTCCTCATCCATAACTGAAAGGTCAAACTCTGCTTTCTACCACCGCTTTATTTTTATGGTTTTTTTGAGACAAGGCCTCACTCTTCCACCCAGGCTTGAGTGCAATGGCACCACCATAGCTCACTGCAGCCTCAAAATCCTGGGCTCAGGTGATCCTCCCAACTCATTCTCCTGAGTAACTGAAACTGCAGGTGTACACTGTCATGCCCAGCTAATTTTTATATTTTTTACAGAGACAGAGTTATAGTATGTTGCCTAGGGTGGCCTTAAATTCCTGGGCTCCAGTGATCCTGCCACCTTGGCCTTCCAAAGTGCTGGGATTACAGGCATGAGCCATCAAGCCTGACCTTGCTTTCTTTCATTTCTCAGTTAATTTCCAGAACTGAGACAACTGTTGCATTGGTTCAAGTATTTTTTCATCATGCACTTCACTTAACAAACTGTAAGGAAGATAGCTGAATCCTGACTATTTACCATAAGGTCCTTCTGCAATTCTATCTTCACTTGCAACCATCCTGAAAAAAAAACTAAAATCTTAAAACTGGTTAAAAATAAGCCTTCTGGCCAGGCGTGGTGGCTCACACCTACAATCCCAGCACTTTGGAAGGCCCAGGCGGGCAGATCACCTGGGGCTGGGAGTTTGAGACCAGCCTGACCAACATGGTGAAACCCCATCTCTACTAAAAATACAAAATTAGCTGGCTGTGATGGTGCATGCCTATAATCCCAGCTTCTCAGGAGGCTGAGGCAGGAGAATCGCTTGAACCGGGAGGCACCAGTTGTGGTGAGCCGAGATTATGCCACTGTCCTCCAGTCTGGGCAACAAGAGTGAAACTCCGTCTCAAAAAAAAAAAAAAAAAAAAAAAAAAACCTCCCGTCAAAAAAAAAAAAAAAAAAAAAAAAAACGCCTTATATCATCTTAGAATTTAATAACATATCCTGTAAGAATATATTACAGGCTGGCCATGGTGGCTGACACCTGTAATCCCAGCACTTGGGGAGGTCGAGGTGAGTGGATCACCTGAAGTCAGGAGTTCAAGACAGGTCTAGCCAACATGGTAAAACCCCATCTCTACTAAAAATACAAAAAAATTAACCAGGTGCGGTCATGGGTGCCTGTAATCTCACCTACTTGTGAGGCTGAGGCAGGAAAATTGCTTGAAACCCAGTGGCGGAGGTTGCATTGAGCCAAGATCACACCAGAGCACTCCAACCTGGGCAATAGAGCGAGACTCAGCCTCAAAAAAAAAAAAAAAAAAAAAAAGGAAAAACCGTCTCAAAAAAAAAAAAAACAAAACAAAACACCTTCCAATTTTTTTTTTTTTTAA